ATCCTTTTGCCTTAAAACCAGTGGAAACCAAACTGCAGAAGATCCCAACATTCATTTAGTTTAATTTCATTCACAAACAGTGCTTCACAAGTGCTGTTTGTACCTTCACTTGCTCCAAGTTAGATGCATGTTTCCAGATTATCATTGGTACCTTACACTGAATTGTTTCAGGATTCATACACCTTCATGTCTCCAAGGGGTTAATTATTGCTGTAGAATTATATGATCAAATTGAAAAGACTCCTGAGGAGAATATTTGAGTTTGCATTCTTGTGAGTCACAGAGGACTGAGAATATTGACACCTGTGCTGTGGTTTTGGACTTGGTTATCAGAGCATTTGGTGTTTTAAAGTCAGGTTCTTAGAAAACACTTTTAACTGAGTGCTTTCATTTAAGGAGGGAGGGCAAACTCAGCCACCCAGTTTTCAGAAATGCTGAAAATCAGAAGCCCCTAATGATTTCCTCAGTGTTTGCTCCAAACTCAGGGTCAGTGGGAATCAGGCTGATTATCTTTATCTAGATTCAATTATGAAGAAAAACAGCACTAATGATAGATGTCCCTTTGAGTAGACTGTGCTGAATTTTGTCTGGCTATAAGTGAACATAAAAAAAAAACCACTTCCAGAGCTGCTGCAAGGGTGCTGCAGCCCTGGCAAAGTGCTTGGAAATGGTGAAAGTAAAAGCAACGAAAAGCGACATACATGCAACACTGAGTGGAGGCGAAAAGGCTGTTATAAGAAGTAATAATACAATAATAATTGTATGCAATAAGGCACATAGCCTTATTAAACAACCCTACTTCCTACAGCACCAGCCAAAGGGGACAACAACTTCTCTGACTGCACCCCATGCTCCTAGGTAAGTTTAGGCAGAAGTTAAAAAAACAAGACTTGGAAAGCAACTGCATGGCCACCTTAGACTATGGCAGAATTATTTCCTACACCATGTTTTCTCCTATTTTATTTAATACATTACAAGCAATATATTTTCATCTGTATACTTAGCCTAATACTCCTCTTCAGGAAGAGGTTATGCAGATCTAGCAGCGCTTGTCAAAGCTTGTAGAACAAACTCTAACCACCAGAAAAAATGCAATACAGCCTTACATATTACAGCAGAGGCAAACAAAATCAAAGCAGGGTAAAGTCAGATAAAAGCAAGAGACGAGTTATTGATCCCTTAAAAAGATAGAGCAATCCGGGGGAAGAAAAAAAGCCTTCTTGGCCACCGGGTGTCAGCCTGGAGTTGTGTTGTACAACTGGAATGTGAAGGCACACGACTCCTACCCAGAGTCTGTTGGCCTACACCACCTAGGACAGCGTAGCTGTCCTGATGCTAGCAGAGCTGTGCTGAGTTATGCCATTTGAAGATAGGCCCACTGGATTTAAGGATGTCTACAGTGAAATAATCTCTATATATTTGTGAAAATAATATTGGCAATTTGTTACATCTCTGCTATCCATGCAGACTGTTGTAACAACTTCCTGAAGTACCTAGAAAAGTAGGGAACACGATTTTGAGCTCTTGGCAGCAGCCATTACCCACCAGATATTTGTGAGTCAAAGGGAACCACCCCCAAAGACACCCAAGCGAGTGCTCACAAAACCCACGCGATGTTGTCGTGTCCTAGCTCACCTATCAGCACCAGCACTGTTACCACAGACAGAACTGCCTTCTTCCAAGCTGCAAGTTCAGAAAAGGTCTCATAAATACATATAAGCAAATAGATGATAAAGCAAGGAAGGCTGCTGATACCACTTCCACCACCGTTTACATATGCAAATTCTATTCACACACCAAGGGCATCACTTAGAGCTTAATTACTCCTTGAACTGCTGCATGCAGTTAAAACATCTTGCCAATCTTTTTCATACAAAGAACACAACAAACCAGGTCTCTCTAAGAGCTGTTAAGTCTTTCACACAAAGCTATAGTCTTACTAATATTTTTATTTCTAGCATTTTTAGTGAGGGAGGAACAGAAATTCCAACACCCTCTCTTGTGTCTCACATGAGCTTCCTATTATAGAGCTGCTTTTCTCAGAGTGTCACAATAATTGTGTTGCTATTACCAGGTCTTAAACAAAAAGACACATTCTTCAGGTAGGCATATGAAGAGGACTAGCCCTGAAGAAAGTCAGAGTTACAGCACAGAGCGTGGTGTTTCACTTTGTCAGCAGCTCCCTCCATCTCAGAATGCTCCAAGCGTTGTCTGATGCCTCATTCATTGGCTTTTTCCCAAGTTTTCCTAGGCCTTCTGTCAGCCTGCATGCACAGCTACACGGAGAATCTGATCTCCTCCTCCACTTTCCCTCCTTTCCCTCTGCTGCTTCAGGCCAAAATTATATTTCTGAGGTACAGCTTTGTGATTGTTTTTTAATTTTTTTTTTCTTAACTCTATGTATTTGTTCATCTTGGGGCCAGCCAGGAACAAATGAAAGAGATTCTCCGTCTGCTTTTAATCTTTAGGGCATAGACATGCAATAAGCTAGTGAAAGCAAGATACTTTACATGGCTGTAGTAGGAGCCCTAGCTGTACCTCTGATCAGAAGTTGGCCCTAAGCACTTTTCCAAGATTGCTCAAAACCAGCACATCAGTCCCTAGAGAGCAAGCTTTTCTTCCACCCTTCCCATATTTACATGCTCCATTAAGATTCTTTTCTTTTAAAATACCAAAAAAGAACCCCTAGACTAGTCTTATCCCCTTCCTTAATGCAACACAATGTTCAAATACACACATAAAACCTTCTATATGCAATCTCATAATTTGTGCAATTCAAGCTTCATGAGTATAAATAGATTTGATCCAAAGCATCCACACAAAACTTTTAAACCCCCAAACCCTACTTTCTTATCTTGCACCCTTATGCTGGTTGCAGGAACTACAGCTCTATACTTTAAGATCCCCTAGCAACCTCATCTCACAGGATTCAATCAACTACATTACTCAGCTATGCACACAGCAGGTCACAGCTACCCACACAGGAGCATCTGCCTTCACATTTTGCCCATCCAGGGTTGGTGCAGGTGCTAACTCTCAGCTTGGGCAGCATTGCAGCTGCCTCAGCAAAAGGCTCTCGTACAAGTTTCTGACATTGTGGCTTGCTTCTGTTCCTTCTCGATGTAGATCATCTGTTTGACCACTTCTTAGTGGTCAAGCACTGGCAGGGGCTGCCCAGGGCAATGGTGGAGTGACCATCCCTGGAGTGGTTCAAGCAGCGCCTGGATTCGGCACTTCAGGACATGGTTTAGTGGCCATGGTGGGGTTGGGTTGATGTTTGGACTTGGTGATCCTGGAGGTCTCTTCCAACTTTAATGACTGTGATTCTTTGATTCTGCCTATGCAGTAATGAGCTGTGGTACCACTCTCAGATTAAGGGTTAAAGACACACCCACACTCCCAGCTCCTCTTGAGTTTAGGTATGGAGGCCCAAAAATCTCCATCCACAAAATACCAGATTATCCCTGGAGGGGTTCAAGCAGCGCCTGGATGCGGCACTTCAGGACATGGTTTAGTGGCCATGGTGGGGTTGGGTTGACATTTGGACTTGATCTTAGAGGTCTCTTCCAACTTTAATGACTGTGATTCTTTGATTCTGCCTGTGCAGTAATGAGCTGTGGTACCACTCTCAGATTAAGGGTTAAAGACTCACACCCACACTCCCAGCTCCTCTTGAGTTTGGAGGCCCAAAATCTCCATCCACAGAACACCAGATTATCCTCTTGTCTACCCTAGAGAAGCTTTGATTTCCAAGGGATCTGTACTTCCTTTAGGTCTGATCAGGATTTGACAGCAGGACCGAGGAGGTGTCATTTGCCCGTGTCTCTGTGTTACCCACATTAGAGGTGATAATCCCCCCTGCTCCAGCAGGGAGATTGGACTGGATGATCTTTTGAGATCCCTTCCAATCCCTAACGTTCTGTGATTCTGTGATTCTGTGATGGAGCTGGTGCATTTGCTGAACGTATCTAGGTGTGGGAGGGAGAACACTCCCAACGTTTTAGTCATGCAAAGTGCCTGACTAATTTGTAATCCAGGTATGGGGACTGTTCTGATTGGGGAATGTTCTTGGTTTTGAGCTCAGGTTTTCGGGTTTGTGGAAGGAGATTGAAAATGCAAGTGTAGCTGAAGTCACATTTTCTGGAGAGTTTTCTTGGAAGAAGCAGGGTTTAGGCTCTAGTGGCTGGAATGAGTTTGCTAAGAATGGTAAAAGGGGGAAACTTGTTTCATAGGTGCAGATGTTGCTTGAGATGTCTCAAGACTGAGAAAACACAAGGGATGAAACCTGGCACGGCTTAGCACTTTAACCTTTGTGAAGCTACTCCAAGTTTTTAAAGGTCTTTAAACTCTGCGTACATGGGAAACAAAGATGTATTTAAATGAATTAAAGATGTGTCACAGCGCTATGTTGCTGCTGCAAGCAAACCGCTTCTACGTTCATACCCACAGCTGCTGTGGTGTGTGTTTGGTGTGCTCTGCACGAATGAGATGCTTAAAACCAGAAACCCCAGTCAGCTTGAGTTTTCGCCACAAGGTGGCATTCTCTGAGCTTTTTTTGCTGAGGAAAAGAAATCTTACCATCCTTAATGATAACAATAATAATTAAAGGAGGGGGGGCGGGAGGAGGAAACTCTCAAACCCTGCCTGTGTTTTCTGAAGTCTGTGACAAAGCAAGGTTTGTTGGGAGGCTTCTTCTCTCACAATACAATAGTGCTGCTTTCAGAGAGCTGCAAGTGAGACTGAGGGTCAAGTCCCTTTAAAAAAAAAAAAGTGAAATACAGTATTGTGCATCTTGAAATCTGAAACCCAGAAACAGAAGTGCAAGGGAAACAAGGGGGAAAGTCTTGCAATTCCTGAGGACAACTGTTGCAAGTGGAGTTTTAAGGAATAAAGTATACGTATACGCCTTTAAAGGTCATTGAATGGCTTTTGTGGAGAAACCTGTGAAATAAAGGAGCCTTGGAAGAAGAGATTTCTTTTTCTCCTCCTGTCTGGATATAATGGCCATTGCAAAGCAAAGCATCTTGAGATTTGGCTTCAAATGTTTCTTGCTAGCAACTTTTGTGCTAACCTGTGATGGACAAGGTGGAAAAAGAGAGAATGGTGGTCCTGCCTGTTACGGAGGATTTGATTTGTATTTCATTCTAGACAAGTAAGTCACTTCTGCTCTGTTCTTTTTCAACGAAATCTTTCTCTAGGCATGAACTGCAATGGTACGTACTGGTACCAAGGAGGTTTTCTTTACATTTTGGTTTTGTAGAATTTGCTGTGTCCCCAAGGGACCCGTGAAACTCCTTACTACTCTGCCTCTGTTTTTGTTGTGGTAACTTCTTGGGTAGGTCTCATGCATAATCCCATTGTGCTCTGTAAATCAAATTGATATCAATTTTCCTGTGGCTGATACAGAAGCTTTATTGTATGCTTCACCCCGTAGTGGTCGGGAGAAGGTCAAACCCCTGGTCCTTTCTGGTTCCCCTCTGAACTGAAGGTCGAGGCACTCATTAAAGCAGGGGTTGGAGAGCTTATTTTTGCAGGCATTCATTCTGGAGCTGAAAACGTGGAGGAAATGCTCTCCTGCCTGCAGGTCTGCGGCTTTACCCTTGCTCCTCAGCTCTGAAACTTCTGGAGCAGCAACTGCAGTTGAAGATGGGGCTCTGAGAGGTGGTTGCTCCCTTTGAAAGTGTCTGAATTTCACCCGTGTGATGGAAAACAGCTACAGTGCCTTATTTAAAGAGAGCTTTATTTTCTCTACACTGAGTCACATTTTCTTTGTTTCCTGTTAATCAAATGCATATTTTGACTGCTTAACTGTTTATACTGAAGATAACTTCCTATCTTCCTTTATTCATCACCAATTTGTGGTAGTGTCATCTTCTTGGCACTGGTAAGTTTGCCTCTTTACAAGCCTTCAGTTTGGAGATGCAGCAATATGAAACAGATACGTGCTGAGCTTCGGAAAGCTTCATATTGAAGCAACACAATCGTTTGCAAAAAAAGTATTAAAAAAGTGCTAGCTAAAATGATTCTCCTAATTTTCTTGATTAAGATTAGTTATTTTGAACCAAAGGTTTGGAAATACTTGAGAATATGTGTGCCAGAGCCATGGTACTGACATTATTGACCATAAATCTCAGAGACAGGAAAGCATTTGCAACTTGCCAAAAGTGCTCGCAGATGAAGCCTTCTGGCTGCTCCTCTGGTGTTTTGCAGTAGCTCCCACATTCCGTTTGTATAAATGACTTGGAATTACATAACTCTTTATTACAAAATACTGGGTAAAATGTAAGACTGAGACAGTGGATGCTTTAATGTGCCAGTTGTCCTGATGCTCCAGGGGAAGGAGATAGAGATTTATTTATTTAACTTTATTCAGTGGAATGATCTACCTGTCTAATGCATTTTGTTGTTTTGGCTGTTCAGTTATTAACTGGAATACTTTTATTTCTACATACAAAATAAAAAGGGGCATGATTTGTACTGCAGACAGCTTTCACAAGCTGCATCTCCCTGAAAGTTGAAGAAGAACTGAAGGTTTTCCCAAATGTGATGGATGTGCTGTGTTATACCCTGGAGCCAATGTAACTTTAACAGCCACTTATTTCAAGTTCTCTGCTGTCCTCTTACCAAAGGCATGACTTTGTAGCTTGCTCAGGGGATTATGAGTCTGGGTGGAAATACGAAGCTTGGCACAAACTTTAAAGTAGGCAGGCTTACCTCAGCGTATTTATCAAGGTATCCAACCAAAAAATCCTGCTTTGACAGTTGTGGGATTTTTGTTTCTGGGATTTTTCTGGTGCAGAAATGAACAGGGTCTGATGTCAAAATGTTCTTGGTCTCTGGTGGAATTTGGAGCAGAGTTACGGTGTTTAAGGTGCTGGTGTGTGCAATGTGCTGTACACTCAATTGCTCAGCCTTTAAGGAGGTTGAGAAGAGATTAACTGTGCTGGAGTAACTTTAAAACTTTAAACTCAGAGGCTAAGCTAAAGTTTTAAAAAACTTGAGTCTTATTTAGCCTGGGTTTTCGAGCTTCCAAATGTCTAGAAAATGCTTTCAAAAATGCTGCTGAAGTCTTGAATGTGAAGAGAGGTGATGCCTATAGAGGCTTTCAGGCAAGATATGAAATGATAATAATAGATTTAGGGCTCACTGTTTTCCTTTGAAATAGCTCTAAAAATGACTAAAAATTATTATAAGTGATAAAGGATACCAAAGCAGAAGATATTTGCATTCTGAAACATGAAGTGTTAATTTCAGTGGTGGAATCAAGCCATTAACATATTAAGCAACCCACTTTCTGGGATCAAAGGAGTCGTATAAAAACAACAAACACAGCCCTGGAAGTCACCAGTGCTGGAGCCCTCTGCTGCCCCATTTGCCTCAGAGCCTGCTTGGATTTAGTGACTCCTTCGGTCCATTTAGCACCGTGTATGCGTGCTGCTCACCAGACACGTTCCAGCTGCTGTGCCATGCCCAATCCTTGTCACGATGCTGGCTCTTGAAGCATATTTCTGGCCACAAGAAGCCCTTTCAAAGTGAACATGTAACGCCCTGGGGAAGGGGCACCTGTAACAGGCTGTTCTTGTGAAGTGATCATGGAATCACAGCGTGGTTTGGGTTGGAAGGGAACTTAAAGCTCCTCCAGTCCAAGTCCCCATGGGCAGGGACACCTCCACCAGCCCAGGCTGCTCCAAGCCCCGTCCAACCTGGCCTTGGGCACTGCCAGGGAGGGGGCACCCACAGCTTCTCTGGGCAACCTGGGCCAGGGCCTCACCACCTCTCATGGAAGAATTTCTTCCTAATATCCAGTCTAAATCTCCCCTCCTCTAGTTTAAAACCATTCCCTCTCATTCTATTGCTACCTGCCCTTGTAAAAAGTCTCTCCCCAGCTTTCCTGTAGGACCCCTTCAGGAACTGGGAGACTGCAATAAGGTGCCCCCAAAGCCTTCTCTTCTCCAGGCTGAACAGCCCCAACTCTCTCAGCCTGTCCCCATAGCAGAGCTGCTCCAACCCCTGAGCATCTTTGTAGCCTCCTCTGGACTCGCTCCAACAGCTCCATGGCCTTTTTATATTGGGAGCCCCAGAGCTGGACCCAGCACTGCAGGTGGGATCTGACCAGAGTCGAGCAGAGGGGCAGAATCATCTCCTGCAGCCTCTGATGCTCTGGCTCCCTGCAGTGTTCTCCTTGGGAGACTCCTGCAAATTTGCTGTCTGAAGTGTTTGAAGGGAAACCAGGATTCCTCCAGCTGCCTGCAGACAGCTGGAGACGTGACTCCCTGCAGATGGCATGCTCGAGGGGCCTGAAGGAAATCTCCCATTTCTCATGGTCATGAAGGAGAAGACGATCCAGCATTCAGCCACCCAGAAATAATCCTGTTACGCTATGCAGCCTTGATGTGCATGTAACGAACAGAACAGAAGTTGAGTGATACCAGATTTGCTTGCTAGGTTACAATAGCATCCTTAATCTCTGTGTGTGCACTTTTATGGCTTTCATTTCTCACACAGCTTAGATAGCAAAAAGAAGGCCTCTCGTGCTGTGACCATTGGACCTCAGGCTAATGGAGTTAAGTTCCAAAAATGATGCAAAGACACCCCAGAGGACTGCGGTTTGAGTTGGACAAACTCCTCGCCAACTAAAACTGCAGTTGTCACGCTGTTGTTGGTTCAGCACTCCAGCTTTGGAGGAAACTATGGTTTGCCAGCTCTCTTAGGAATCGTTGCTTGACAGGCAGCAAACTTGAAAGGAAAAAATAGTGTTACAAACACCTAACTTGAAATTCTGAGCTACCTGACAGCACATTCACTGAAGGAATTGTATTCACATGAATTAAGAGCGGATTAATCCATTTCTGGATGGAGAAGACTACAGCTCACACTGTGTGCTATAGAGTACAGTTGTGTGCTCTTTGCTATCTAGGCTGTATGCAGGATCTGATCATGTAAGGTGCTGAACATCTTAAAGTGGAGGCCATACCACAGTGAGCCCAGTGTCGTGGAAGGTAAGGCCAGACAGTTTTGGGAGGATTGCTGAGAGACATCCTAAATGGTTTGTCCTGTTCCAGTTTGTTTGGCTGTTCATGGATTGAGGCTCCGAATGAATGGTAGCAAAACGAATGGCAGAAGGTGGTGCCAGAGAATTTACAGCCGGGATGGGAGTTAAGATCTAGGGCTTTCATTAAGAAGGAAGAATGAGGAAGCAGCAGGATGTTGATATATAAAAAAGCAAACATTTGTTTTTGCTGATGTTGTTCAGTGATTCTAAAAATATCATCCCTGTGACTAATTGAGACTATGACCCACCCCTTAATCGCCATGGTATTTAGTGCTGTAGTATATAACCAGCCCCACGAGCACAGCTGGAGCATTCAGAGGCAGCTCCAGATTAATTTATTTGCAGGTAGGGAGGACGCAATAACAACAAGCACATCTTTTGGGTAATATTTTGCTGTATCCTCTGTATGTCAAAGGTGCTGTTTCCTATGTTCTTGCCCGTTGTGTGCAAATCGCAGGCATCGTATACCCCTGTGCAGAAAACACGCAAGGAACTGTGTGTGTGTGGAAGAAAACTTGGCTCTAAAATATCCTTGGCAAAATGAAGCAAGTAATCCAAACTGTTTCCTGTGATCCCTCCATTATTCAGCCAGACAGCCCATCTATTTTTAACCGGTAGTATTGACGTGAGCCTCCTGCTCTAGAGAGGCTAAGAGTTGTTTCTTTGAATCTAGTGTTAGTAGCTGTAGTTACTGTGACTTAAGCAGGACTTAAGCCAGATTTACACTCAGGTTGTAGAAGAACATAGGGGCCACAGTGGGATGGAAAGCAGAAACTTTGCATTTCCAGGTAGGGAGACTGACCTACGTGAAGTGATTCTCATAGCAGGGACTCTTCCCCTCTCCAGCAGAGCTAACACAGGACCCTTACAGAGCTGAGTAGTATCTGAAGAAACAGAAGCCTTCAGTTGGTAATAGAAAAATTAAGCGTCTGCAGAAATAGATTCAAATTCATCTCTGATCTTTGTTGACCAAATCAGCAGTTCCTTAATTGGTTTTCTGCAGTCACAGGCCTGAATCCAGAGCGATGTGTACATTTGGTTTGGATGGCAGGAGGTTGCAAGTATATGGAGACAGAGTTTTCCTTTGTTTTAGCGTGAGG